TTCTGTGATTCTGTGATTCTGTGAATCAAATTACTCTATTTAGCGTTAGACTTGAACCCAAATATCAATCTGTTATCTGAACTCTGTATTTTGATTGAATTGTCCTTTCAGGGTATAGTTTTAAGTATGAGGGATTTTGATACTGAGTATCATATGTTGTTAGCAGTGCTCTCTCCCTGAATTGACGTTTAGGAGTTTGTATAGGCTGACCATGTCTGGATACATAAAGTGTAGCAAACAGCCTTACCATTAGGAATGTAGTAGTACCTTCCTAGTAGTGGTAAGAAAAGCATGATGTTACAATTTTAAAAATTATCTTTAAAAAGAGATGTAGTTTGCCTTAGATCTGGGGAATGGTAATTCCCTGTGGAAGATTCTTTATTAGTGGAAATTATCTAAAAGAATGAAGTTGTGTAACCTTGCTTGCAGGTGTGACTAGTACCCTCGATGCTTGAAATCAATGTTCGCAGTGTGGTGATGCTTTATGTGGGTGATGATGAGGAGGATGTTCTCTCTGGAAGTATATGCTGAGTTTAGATTTTAGGTTGGATTAACACCAGAAATTACAAATTCTGTTAGATTTCAAACAGAATTTTTCTGTTCTTGGCATTGAGATGTCTGCAGTTTACAGCAACAATAGTGAACCTCAGCTGTCTGAAGTAGGATAAATATGAGTTGCAGCTTGTATCTCAGTGTCAGTGATTCATTCTAAAGGAGTGTGCTTGTGGTTATTTTGTTTCTATTTCTAGTTAATGGAAAAAACAATTTAGGAAGCCTTAATGAAGCTTGGGTTTTTATATTAGTTTAACTTACATTAGTATATCTCTTGCAATGTAATGCTCTAATTTAGTGTCTTTTTGCAGTTAATATCCAGGAAAGGCTTGAGTCGATCACTGTTCTCCGCTACTAAAAAATGGTTTAGCGGCAGCAAGGTTCCAGAGAAAAGCATAAATGAACTGAAGAATACTTCTGGTTTGCTGTAAGTAATTTCAGTCCTTACCTTTAGATCTAAAATGAGAATGTACCTTTTTTGCGGGGGTAGGGGGAGGGAAAGCCTTATTTGATGGTGTTCTGCAGAGTGAACTAAGTCAGCAGTAGTGTAAAAGACCTTGATTGGATAAATCATGAAAAGTATAAAGTACTAGAACTTAAAAAGAGGTTGAAAAACTGTTGAGTCATCTTCCTGCTAGATTTACAGTGAAGCTTTCTACGTTACAAAGAATGGACATTTTTAACAGTAATATTAATGAAAAGAAGCTCTGGTCTGCAGATTTTTTTAATTAGTACAAGCTTTTTCTTTTCTTATTCAGGTCAAACCCCATGTATAGGTGTTTTTGTTGATGTAACTATGTAATTTACAGCAGTTGAGTATTAAGTATGTTGCTTTTGCAAGTGCATTTGAGAGCTAAATTAAGGAGAATTTTATACTTTTTGCACCTGTATTTTACATTAAACCAGGTTTTAAATTTTACCAGAATATTAATTCTTTATGCTTTGTAATTTCCCTTTGTGAATGAGGATATATAATCATAAAAAGCACTCTCTTCAACTGTCTTTTCTTAACCACAGAAGTCTAAATAGTTCTTGGACGTTATGTAGCCAATGTCCCTGACACATACAGCTTTAAGTTCATATGTTGAGTGTCTTTGGATTCGTAATCAAAATGTTGTTAATTTCAGCTTTTGTATTGAATTCGTAAGCATGGTTTGCTTCCTATAAAGTTTGATTAACAAGCGTTTGTGAAAACGTATTTGATCTTCACTGAAGTGATTAATATATATTTAACTAATCAAAAGTTAGACTGATGCTTGCAGAAGACAAGGAACTTTCCCAGTGTTTTGTGCATAAGGCATTGTTTTTTAGTGGATTTTTTCTTTCAAGAGAAATAGGGAGAAATGACTACAGCAAGGTGAACAAAGTTATTTTTTTTTCCTTCTCGTACAGCTCTGTTTAGCTCTAACAGTTAATCTTACTGAGCAGTTTCAGTGATAGCTGCATACTTTTTTTTGGTATTTCTTGGCTAAAAGGAATGCTTGCTTTCAATGTTAGTAGAACAGTGAATCTTGTTAATCAGAAAGTAGGGTGTGAAACTAAGTCACATGTGGCAGAAAGGAAGCAGCTTCACTTGTCTTAGCTGTGTTTTTGGGTAAGGCTGAAGCGATGCAGTTTTTGTTCCTACTTTGTGAATAGAAATTAACATGAGAGGGGAAGACTTTATGGAGCATGTCTTGCTCTATTTATTATAAGTATGACTTTGAATTTAAATATTTGTATTTATAGGTATCCACCAGAAGCACCAGAGCTTCAAATCCGGAAAATGGCAGACTTGTGCTTTTTGGTGCAACACTATGAACTTGCATATAGCTGTTACCATACAGCAAAGAAAGACTTCTTAAATGATCAGGCAATGCTTTATGCAGCTGGAGCACTGGTTGGTACTTCACATAACATAAACATTCTTTGAACTTTTCCTAATAATCTCTAATATTTGTCTGAGGGTAACAAAATGCAATCTCTTCCCTCCACCTCCACATTTACAAGGGTCTTGCCAAATTTGCTGTGTATCTTTAGCGAATCCTAAAGTGTTCTCAAATCTATTGGCTGCTGTTTTATGAAGGGCATCAAGATCTGAATAAAAGGTGAAGACTTAATTCTTAATGTGAAATATGGAAAGGAGAATACCTAGAATGCAGCTTGGATCTTTACACTTGTAGCCTGATAACTTAAACAGGTGTGAAATAATTTTGTAGTATCTCTTTTTGGCTTTGGCAAAACACTTATTTGCCGGGAAGTCAAGACTATGTCACTATAAACATGGTATTGTACTATTTTTTTTGTTAAGACTCTTGAGGGATATAGTTTGAGTATGTCACTGCTGAACTTCACTGTAAACACATTCATGAATTTCTCTTGAGAATTAATGTATATGTGAATAAAATAATTTTCAGTAAGATCAATGGGGAAAAATATGCTATGTTTTGTGGACTTTAGTCTGGTTAACTTGATTAAATTTGAAACTTTGGAGCTATGGAAGCATTCTTGTACACTGTCCCACCTTTACATAAATGTGTATTTTTACAGTACAAACACTTGCTCTGCATTTGGATATTCTGAAAAGTTATCTTAATTCCTTAGTGAATGGTTTGTAGAGGTGTTAATTATAAATTTTTTCAACCTACAAGTCTTAGTCTTTACTTACTGCAGAAAAACTTTGCTATCTTATCTTCACCCTATAAGGAAAGAATTAAAATTTCAGAGTGCATGTTTACTAGAGTTTCCTTGGAAGCTAAGCATGTAACTTCATTTAAGCAAAATTCAGGAAACAGTCCTTACCTTAAAATAGATGGTAGTGGTACTTTATCAGAAAGATTGTTCCTGAAATAAGAAATTATCTCTTGGACTTGTAAAGCGGTACTGAATAAATGCTTCTGCATATTGTTGGGGTACCATCAGCTGAAAACTGTGTGTAACTTTCTTGCTGCTGTCTGATTAATTAGAAGCAGAGCCATTAATAGGCTATTTTAGTAAACCTTTTATGAGTTATTGTGTTGGGTGCACTTTTATATGCCAGTATCCAATTAGATGAGGATCTTGAACTAGTAGCTGTTGAAATGTGTTCCTCAGCATTTTGAGGTTTACAGTTTGTTGAAAAAACTATGGTGACAGTGAGGAATTTCTCTTGTAGGAAATGGCAGCAGTATCGGCTTTTCTTCAGCCTGGAGCTCCTAGACCATATCCTGCTCATTATATGGAAACAGCAATTCAGACCTATCGAGATATCTGCAAGTATGTTGTTTACTTTTGTACTGATCCAATGAAAGTTGAAAGACCTGGTGGCTTAACTTTCTTCCACTGCACAGTGATAGTGCCAGATGACTAAAAGATCACACATGGTGACTTTCTAAAGACTAAGATGTGATAGTTGATCTAGGATAACATGGAAGGGGATCTGTGCTGTTCTTAACAAAGTGCTTATTAAACTTGGGTATTGGATTTACCTGATAAGATTTTGGTAGTGGGGAGCCTGCAGGATTGGCTTCTGCGAGAAGACAGCACAAACTGCCCCAATGTTGGACAGAACCAGTTTTCACCCAGCTTCAAAATGGACCTGCTGGTGCCCAAGGCTGAGCCTGTCAGCAGTGCTTGTGCTGCCTCTGTGATAACACACTTAAAGGGTAAAAATTGCTGTGCAGCAGCTTTGAGAGAGGAGTGAGAAAATGAGAGAAACAGTCCTGCAGACACCAAGGTCAGTGGTGGGGGAGGAGGTGCTTACTTGCAGCCCATGGAGAAGATCATAGTGAAGCAGGTTGTCTCTGAAGCCCATGGAGGTCCACAGTGGAGCAGGGAGCCACATTGCAGCCTGTAGAGGGGACAGTGCTGGAGCAGGGGGATGTGCCCTGAGGGAAGCTGCAGCCTGTGGAGAGCAGGTTCCTGTCAGGAGCTGTGACCCATGGGGAATTCACACTGGAAGTCTGTTCCTTGAAGGACTGTGCCCTGTGGAAAGGACCCATGCTGGAGCAATTCTAGAAGAGCTGCATCTGTGGGAGGGACCCCATGCTGGAGCAGGGGAAGCACATGAGGAGGAAGAATTGGCAGAGATGAAATGTTATGAACTGACCGCAGCTCCTTTTCCCTATCCCCCTGCCCTGTTTGAGTGGAGGAGGAGGTAAAAGAGTTGGGAGTGAAGTTGAGCTGGGGAAGAAGGAGTCAGGAGAAGGTGCTTTAGTTTTGTTTTTATTTATCACTATCCTATTGTGTTATTAATTGGCAATAAATTAATTTCATCTTCCTCAAACCAAGTCTGTTTTGCCTGTGACTGTAATTGGTGAGTGATCTCCTTGTCTTTATCTCAGCACGTGAGGTTTTTAATCTAACTTTCTCCCCTGTCTTGCTGAGGAGGGGGTGCGATAGAGCAGCTTGGTGAGCACCTGGTACCCACCAAGATCAACTCAGCACAACCTGTTTCTGGCTGTTAGACTTCTCATTTATCAGTTCATTTAGCTGGTTGGATCATTTTACTTGTTATTTTTATACATACAATGTTATCCTCAAAAATATTCTCTAGCTTTGACTTTTGAAAAGCTGCTGTTACAGCAGGATAAGACAATGCGTAAATCTGCATGTGGTTGTTTTGCAGGGGATGAACTTTCATATATTTTTCTTTAAGAGGGACAAACAACAGAACATCAGTCTGATGTGATGTGGAGAAAACTTGTCAGATTTGAGGTGAAAAGTTTTCCATGGTTTATTTTGATAAATATTTATTAATACACTTATGTTTTTGCTTTAGGAACATGGTTCTGGCTGAACGCTGTGTGCTGCTTAGTGCTGAAATCTTAAAAAGTCAAAGCAAATATTCAGAGGCAGCAGCTCTTCTGATTCGTTTAACCAGTGAGGTAAAACACTTAGTAGCTTTTTCCACTCTTGTCCTCTCCCTGTTTATTTACTTACTTACCCAAGCACTTCTAGCTTGCACTCTAATTCTTGTCCTATGATATTTGCTAGCCAAAGGTAGCAAGTGAGCTGGTATAAAGCATGAATTGAAGAAAACTGTTTACACTGCAAGTAAAGAAACTAACAGTGTTACTTGTTTTCTTCCTAGTCAAGTGACTTGCTTGACTTCTTTAAATGTGCTAAATGTGCATTTGTTATCTTTGGCTTTATAATTAATTTTTCTTTGACATCTGCTTAGCTCTTGTATGGCATATTTTCAGTTTAAGAATTCATGGGTTAAAAGTGGCATGGCTTGCCACAGCTGTAATGGATACTATCCCACATGTAATCAGAAGTTATTACTGTATCTCAGCTGCTATGAATCATTAGAATCTTACTGTGTAAGTGAAAGCTAGTCTGAGCACTTCTGTAGTATTAATTGGTGAAAATTAAGCATGGAATCAGCTTCTAACAGCCCAGAAAGGATCTTGCTTGAACAAGAGTGAAACAAATGTAGTACCAATAGTAGTATAGCATCTTCTATGTAGCTTGGAGGAAGGTCTAACGGGCAGTTAGTTCTGGCTTTGTGGCCAGCTGCACCAAATGTGATGCTTCTGAGACTTTTCCTGGGGCAAATCAAGCATGAAATAAATGTGCTTAGTTCTGCAAGTTTCTCTCTATAGTGTCTTGTAGATTCATTTTTGCCCTTTCAACTTAAACATGCTGCCAAAATTAGTGAGCCCTGTAAGTTATTTAAGCAAGGAATTAAAATAGTACTGGCTCTGCATAATTATTTTATGACTTAAAGTTACAGGTAGTATGCTTGTAATGCCTTTCGTCAGTTGCAAGGAAAATCTTTGTAGCATACTATATAGGTGTCTCAGTGTTTTTGTAGTCCAGATCCATACTTAGACATCACCGGTAACATGGAGTTCTGTTTTGGTAAAATCAGGTAAATTCTGGTCAGATTGGTTGAAGTGACATAGCTGTGTCTTGGCATAACAAGAGAGGGGAGTAATAAATAAGAAACTGTACGCTATCAAGAAATCATTCTTGTTCTTGTGATACAAATTCACTAAGTTCTATTCCTCCCTCTATTTTTCCTTCATCCTGTTAAAGCTCTTTTAGACTTAATATCTGTAGGGAGAGGGAGGGGAGAAGGTAGCAGAGTGCTTCAGAGGTAAGGGTAAGTGTTAGAAACTGTAGCCTGAGTAACTGGAAAAAGTAGCAAATATTTATATTGTCACTCATACTGAAATAGGTTGATATATGAATCTCTCCACTTGAAAAAAATACCAGTGTGTTTGGTATCGAACACTATACATATAACAAAGTGAAAAATAGTTTGTCTTATTTTCTTTTATGTGTACATATAGTGTTTGTATATAAAAGAAGGTGGTGTTGGGTTGGACTTGATGATCCTTGAGGTCTTTCCAACCTTAATGATTCTAAGAAATTTCAACTTCGCAGCACTATTACAGCTTGCTTGTCCTGTTACAACAAGGCCACTGTTATCTTTCTATATATATAATATATATATAATCTTGAGGCTAATTCTTGTTTTTGCTTCTAAATAGGATTCAGATCTTCGCAGTGCACTTCTGTTGGAGCAGGCAGCCCATTGCTTTATAAACATGAAAAGTCCTATGGTTAGAAAGTTTGCATTTCATATGATATTGGCTGGCCATAGGTTTAGTAAAGCAGGCCAGGTAAGTAGTATCTTTCTGCATGGAAAACATGCCTCATATTTGATACTCTGAAAAGCATATTAAGTGTGTCATTAGTCTGGAAAAAGATGCTTGGCTTCTGATGCTTTTGTATTAGTCGGAAGTATTCAGCTCTGTGATCTTCTGAAAGTGCTGTCTGCATTGATCAGCATAGTCTTCTACTTTTGTATTTGAAGTAATGCTGAAGATCACTGACTTGAAACTTCAGTGATGTGTGTTTTCATTTCTGGGTCTCAATTTTATACACAGTGAAATAGGAGGCACTTTATATAGATAAAGGAGTGTTTTTACTCTTGAGATAGGAGTGAGTTGCAGGAGCTAGGGATTTGTTAAACTCTAAATTTATTAGAATAATAGCAAAATTTGGATACCTGTTTTTCCCAGTTGCTTAACCACATGCTTTTTAGTGGAGGTGCAGGTATATGTACAATTACTACAAGATAAACAAAAGCGTATTTTTATGGCTGCTTACACTTAATTAGCAATTAAACCAATACAAGTCACCTTGTTTTTATTTCCATTCACATTTCTGTGCAGGCAGCTCTAACTCTGTGGGAGATAAACTCAGACTTCATTGGATATAACTTGTGTGCTTTATTTCTGCCCAGTTGTGTGCTTGATTCCTGCTAAGGTTAACCACTGGAGTTCAGTTATGGGGCTGTCCCTGAACACAGTCAGTTTCAGTTTACTGATAAGCTGCAAGCCTGTGATAGAAATAAATTTGTAATGCAAATCGATAATACAGGAGGACCCAGGCATCAGAATTTTGTTTGAAACAAAACCCTGTAGTCTGGGGGGAGTGTTTTCCCAGTCTACTCAGTCTTGTTTTTTATCATCCTGGTAGGGACCAAAGAAGACATTGTTTTACTCTTGGCTTCTGTATTTAAAATCACAGATGTGAAGAATAGTAGGAGTATTCTCCTCCCCTTGGTTCTCTTCATGCGGGAGTCAGTACAATACAGTACTGACAGGAAGCTATTGATCAGAGGTTTTTTATTTATTCTTTAATCTTATTCCTTTGCCTGGAAAACTGCATACTTTTGTAAAGCTGTGACTTCGTCTTCATGTAACAGTACTCTCATTGTTTGTGTAATTCTTGTAGGGATTCTGGTTTCCAAGGTATGCTTTTTTTCAGTGTTACAGTAAATATAGGTTATTGTTTTTTTTTCCCCGTATCCTTAGAGGCACTAAAATATTAAATGCTACCGAAGAGAATTCAGCCAGGCTGCTCAGCTGCGTATTGTAATACCGTATTTTAAAGTGTCAGTAGTATCTGTTGATGTTAAGGATTTACTGCTTTTACTGTCATCACCATACCAATTTGAACCCATCTTAGATTTTTCCCATTACTGCTGTAAATAAGGGAATGCTGTTCCCTTTTTTTTTTTAGAAGCTGAGACTTGCCTCTACAGTGAATGACTATGCAGACATTCAATACCTAGGCTTGAGACTGAATGCCCAGGTCCTGATGTATGTACAGGAAAGGAACTCTGGAGCTGATTAGTCTGGGCAGAGCATCTATCTCCCAATGGCCGATGCAATTGTTAATTTTGTCTTGTATGTGCTGTAGGGCTGTGTCTTGTTGGTTTGCTTGGGATGGAGTTTGTCCCAAGTGTGTTTACCAAGCAACAATTGACTGGAAATTCGTACTGGAAGTTCTGTTATGGAAGTGAAATGAAATGTGTTAAATCTAGCTTATGTTCTGAGGCTTGGCAGTAGACCTTTGTAGGCTTTCTCAAATCAGTCCTAAAGCAATGCAGAACACTATTTGAAAAGTAGTCTCATTATTTGCTTGCTTTAATTCACTGTCTGTTACACTAGTCTGTGAAAACATGAACTTAATCTGAAGGCTAGGCTCTCTACCGTAGGAACCACCACTTCTGTGCTTAGGTTAACATTGACTAGATGCTATGAGACATGGTTCTGCAAACATTACACTTAGCATAGTGGGGGTGGTGGTAAAAAGCTTCAGTAACTTGTCTGGTTTACTGTCCAATCTTCCTAAAACTCCAATTACAATGAATGGTTAATAGGATTACTTAAGAAATAATCTTGTTCATTTTTCTTGCAGAAAAAACATGCCTTACGTTGCTACTGTCAAGCCATGCAGGTTTACAAAGGGAAAGGCTGGTCTCTTGCAGAAGACCATATTAACTTCACTATTGGTCGCCAGTCCTTTACGCTTCGTCAGCTTGACAATGCTGTGTCTGCCTTCAGGCATATTTTGATCAATGATAGTAAACAACCTCCAGCTCAGCAAGGAGCTTTTTTAAGAGAATATCTTTATGTTTATAAGGTAAATGACTTTTCACTGTCTGTATTCCTTGAGTAATCAGTAATTTTATTACTAGTAATTTTCTATTAAGTCATTACATGGTCATACCTGCTTTGTTCTAGGGCTGTTTTTTTGTCTAGTTGATGTGTTAATTTTTTACTACAGGCTTCAAAAAACCAAATGTGTTGCATCTTGTATGTATTAAGTGTGCTTCTGCTGATGGGTATTAGTGTACTGACTCTATTTATTACAGTAAAATGAACTCTTTAAGGGTCATGGCTGAACTGCAGCTTGTGATAGTTCAGTTTGTTTTAGAGGAAGTGGATTTGTTTTTTTATAATTGGCTGTAAATTTGTGAGTGATTCTGTATTGTCATATACCGTGTGCATTATGTGGCGTTTAGTGCTGATATCACCACGCAACTTGCAGTTGTGTAGTTACTGTCTTTTAAAGCTTGTAAACAGTTTCTGTGGTGTTTGAAGTTATGGTTGACCTTACTCAAGACTCATATTTGAGTCCACAGCTCCGCTGTGGTGAGTCTTGTGTAATGGTGACGGTTTAATGAATGTAGTTTATCAAATTCTAAGTTAGAGTCAAGCTTTGCATCAAATAAAGCTTGTAACAGCCTTGTAGCCACAATGGTGATTAGAATGCCCGATTAAAATAATTTTCCTTTTTCCATAAAGATTTAGTGAACTTTAAACTCATACTGAAGAAAAAATACTGCTTTAGACTGTCAAAGCAGAAGAAACTATCAAAACCGTTAATTGAAATGATTCATTACGTCTTAAAAATACCACCTGTTCAAACATTGAATGCGTATAACTTGGCTTCTTTATCGTTCAGTCATTGGTAATGTACAGCATGGACATAATGTATGTCCGTAATGGCATGACACACTGTTTTCCTCCTTTGCTCCAGAATGTAACCCAGCTATCACCTGATGGTCCCTTACCACAACTTCCTTTACCGTATATTAACAGCTCAGCAACGCGTGTTTTCTTTGGGCATGATCGAAGACCAGCAGAAGGTTAGAAAATTTTATGTAAATAGATTGAAGTCCCTTATTTATGAAACCAAAATATATGCAAGAGATGGTGTAATTTAAAAAAAAAAAATCTATCATTTATGTAAAACTAATGTGACATGGTAACTTAAATAAGATTTCCAAAGGAAAGCTTAAGGTTAGTATCTACTCACTAGATGTTTTCAGACTTTCTGTGTAAATATGAAATCTGTGCATGTGGATGTGCTGAATTCCACTGTTTTTCATAGCTGAAAAACTTCAATGCAAGTCTGTAATGAACTTCATGAAAGGGATTATTAATGCTTTAGAAAGTGATAGATGCTAGTGCTAATGCTAGAACTTAGCTTCACTTTCTTTGGATGAAATGTTTGAAACACTGATTCCTGAATGTAAAGTAAGCTGAGTGGAAATTCTTGTATAAACCGGGGCTGTACTGTAGGTTTGTAGTCTGTCATCGAGGAAAGATAATCTGTAATGAGTATACAGCGTAGCAAGCTGAAATCTTGGAATTCCACAATTTGTAAGTAGAAGTATGCTCAAATTATCCTCAGTATTGTCATCCATGTGTGTATTTCAAAATGTCTTGCAATTCACTGACTTAAATCAATTGTAACATAAAAATGACAGTGTCTGAGAAGTTAAAATATTTTAACAATACTTACCAAACTGCCAGTGCAGCCCTCTGTTGCAACTGTTGCATGCTGTTCTCATCTTCTAAGATTACCTTACTCCTACTAGGTGAAAAGCAGGCAGCTACACACGTAAGCCTGGATCAGGAGTATGACTCGGAATCATCACAACAGTGGAAGGAACTTGAGGAGCAGGTTGTTTCTGTGATAAATAAAGGAATAATACCTTCAAGCTTTCAACCAACACAGTTCTGTTTAAATCGCTACTCGGATAACTCCAGATTTCCACTTGCTGTGATAGAAGGTAAAGTTAAGATTTATACACATCAGAAATAAAGCGAGTTAGATAAATTTGTACGATATTTCTTGTTAGTGTAAATTTAAACCGATGTATGGTTTGAGTTAGGTGAACCTTCAGATTGTGTTGGAGATAGCTTGTTGTCATTGGTTTTTTTTGCACTTTTTTTTAATAGAATCCATAACTGTAGAAGTGTCCTTCAGAAACCCTCTGAAAGTTCCGCTTCTTTTGACTGACCTTTCATTGTTGTGGAAATTTCAACCTAAAGACTTCAATGCAAAGCATGGTGGAGAAACAAAAGAGCTGGTAAGGAAAGCTTCATACTTTTTTCAACCACATACAAACAGTTACAAACATTACAGTCATGAAGTGTATATTAACTTAAGTCTTCAAAGTTCTGTAGTATGAAAAAAACTGGTTTAAAGTGTAAATTTAAAGTCAAAAAAAGGGTAGCTACTGAATTTCTTTTTACATTGTTTAGGTTTTCCTAGATCCACATGGCACAAAGCAGCCAAGCTAACAAATGTACTGTAATGAGTATTGTAAAGCTTAATGCAAAGTAAGATACTTCTAACATTTCATTGTATGTGTAGTGCATCTATTTTGAGTCACAATAGCCTTGACCAGGAAGGAGAAATGACTTGCAATGCCAATAGGTATATTTTCAAATACCTCTTTCTTACTTGAGCTACTGGAGCTACTGTATGTAGTGAAATGTGTGTTCTGAAAAACTGTGCTGGTGTGACATAGGAACATCTTGGTATCTCAAGTAGAAGAAACTTGTATCAAAAATTAACGTGTTGAATGGTTTAGATGAACTACTTACTACTGTTTAACATTTCAACTAATACTGCCAAAACTTCCCTCTGAAGGACTATTCTCACATTCATATTTTAAAGGTTTTAATATGTTCTAATATTGAATATTACAGTCAATTCCTTAATAATTAGGTTTCCTGGCCAAAAGTGTTTGGAACCAGGACAGTAACGTAGTGATCTCTAAAGGTGCTGTAAGTGTTTGCCAGAGTTATAAATATAGTTTTGTATAAATAAGTCTTTCCCTTGTGTTCTGGTCTGAACTGCTGCTTTAATGGTATGATAAATACTTCTGTGTCAGTTAAATTGATTTGGAATGATTCCAATTTATAGTGATAAATCTTACATTTCTCTCAAGTAAATGTTTACTGATCTCTCTATTTGCTGCTTTAATTCAGGAAGCCTGAGAAGCTGCGTGTACGGAACCTGCTGGTCTTAATTGTCTGTAGTTTGAGACTTGTATTCCTTGAACACTTTAGGAAAGGTGTGGGAAATAATAGTTATGGTACCTTTTCTGCCTAAGAGTAATAGTATCTTAAAAGCTATTTCTTCTTTTCAGGGAATGTGTGATGACGATATGATAGGAACTGAAGCAATAACAGAATTTTTAATTAATAGTGAGGAGACAAAAGTGGTAAGTACTGGACTTTGTTTTAAGAATAGACTTTTCAGTGTTGAACTTCAGGGTGGAGTTCAGACTTGTTGTGATCTGAACTTAATGCTAGACTTACAGAAGACATTACTGATGTATGAAGTGCTGAAAGTTCTGAATCTCATCAGTGGATATAAATATAAATATCTGAAAAGAGGATGTGACAGGACGGGAAGCAGCAGGCACAAACGGAAACACAAGAGGCTCCACCTGAATATCAGTGAACACTTCTTTTTTTTCACTGGGGTGGTGACTGAGCACTGGGCACAGGCTGCCCAGACTGACTGTGGAGAGTCTATCCTTGGAAATATTAAAAGCCACTGGGACATGGTCCTGGGCAGCTGGCTCTAGGTGGCCCTACTTAAGTGGAAGAGTTGGACACAATGACCTCCAGACGGCCTTTACAATTTCAACCATCCTATGATTCTGCCTCTGTTAAAGTTAATTTTTCGTATGATTTAGGATTCTTTCCTAATGTAATGAGCATCTCTCAGCTGTGGACTAGTTTGGTAAACTAAATGTATAAGAATTTTGAATCCATGAAATGACCTGCAGTTATTGTATGCTGTTACATATGACATGACTATAAAGTAAGTTTATCAGTGAGTGTCTTTAGCAATTGGGTATTTGAATGTAATAATGCTTTTTTTTCTAGTAGCAACAACAACAAAAATTTAACATATCTTCACAGGCAAGACTAAAGCTCTTTCCCCATCAAACAGGGGAGCTACATATTCTGGGAGTCGTTTATAATCTTGGCACTGTTCAGGGTGCTGTGACATTAGATGGGATAGATCCTTCTATTGGATTGCAGACAGGTGAGTGTATTATTCCCTTCAGCTGTGTGTGCCTAGAAGGTGGAGGCATGGCTTCTGCAGAGTAGAACTAAATTCTGGTGTATAATGTTTGAGTATCATGATGCAAGGCGTTCCTTCAGGTAAGGATGTAGAAAGAAGGGAAACAACTGGAACAGGAAAAGAATGAATTGGCACCTGTAGGAATCCCCCAAGAAAGGAAGTAACCTCTACCAAACCCATACTTATTGTTCCTTTCAAATCCGGAAATTCTGAAACCATTAAAAAAAAAATTCTATCTATGCTATGTTGAATCTATAACAATTTTCAGACTCTTTTGCCATTCATTTTTCTTCTGTGTCTTTTCGCTCTGTTAGCTTTCAGCTTTTGTCTAAGTGTTGCACTGAAGTTCTTTGCATAGTTTCCCAAATTCAAATTTGGCTGATATAATTATTTTTTTTAGCATCTTGACTTTATTTTGATTCTTTGTGCTTTATATTAACATATAAAATAACATGCAATTAATAAGCCATTTATCCTTTTTGTTGAGTTGTTCATCTGAAACTGTCTCACACAGAAAATTTACTTGTTGTTGGAGGACATGGGGATTAAAGCAGATGCTTGAAAGTGTCTATAATAAATAATGAAGCTTGGTTAGCAATCTGTGAACTGGAAACCTTGGAATAAAAAACATTTGGAGAGTGTTAGCCTGTCTTTTAAGGAAAAAAAATAGTTTTGGGTGACTTTATTTTCTTCTAGCTTGACAGAAATTGGGAAAAGAAATAAATAAATCACTTTCATGCTCCATCCCCTCCCTCTACCCCCCAAATTGTAGTCAAACGATTAAAGAGAGGAGTAAGTCCACAGCAATGGATAACTGCCTGTCTGAACTTGCAATAGCAATGCACTCTGTGCAACAGTAAGCTTTGTGTAGTTCTTTGTCAGTGATGCTGCTTAATCACTGAACACTGTGTGTGCCCAATAACAGAAAAATAAAAATTATTTTTGAGATTGGGTAGAGAGCTTTGGGTCACTTCTCAGAAAAAAGTTAGGAATTACAGTTAAAAAAAATCAAACTTCAAAATAAATTGTTTCAGGAAAGTTTGTCTCCAATGGATTATCTGTACGAGGACGACAAGATTTGGAAATCCAAGGGCCTCGACTTAATAACACAAAAGAGGAAAAAACATCCATTAAATATGGACCTGATCGACGTTTAGATCCTATTATTACAGAAGAAATGCCTTTGTTGGAGGTATGTAGCTACTTTCTGTTGACAGTTTTGAGCAAATAGCTGAATCCAGAGCTCATAAATGTAATTCTAACAGTAAAGTCTTAGGCTTTGTTAATGCCTACATCTTTCCGTTTAATTTCGGATCTGTCAGTGTCAATCTTACGTTGGGCTTTTCTTTTTTTTTTCAAGTGAAATTTGAGGCCTTCAGATTAATCTTTCAGAAATTGTTCTATTCTCGTTAGAATTTTAGTTTGCAACAGCTTTTGTAGCTCCCTCAAATTTCAAGGTGAGGGGGAACAGACAAAGAAGCTTTTTTCTGTTTGCTTGCCGTTCACCTAGAATAGTTTTTCAATTTGGTTAATGAAAACACAGGGGTTTTTCTTACTAGGGGTATTAAAGTGGTCTGACTAACTGGTTAAAGACAACACTCTACAGAATAGAATATTTCAGTTGGAAGGGACCTACAGTGTTGATCCAGTCCAACTGCCTGACCAATTTGGGGCTGACCAAAAGTTAAAGCATGTTGTTAAGGGCATTGCCAAATGCCTCTTAAACACTGACAGGCATGGAGCATTGACCACATCTCTAGGAAGCCTGTTCCAACGTTTGACCACCCTCTCGGTAAATAAATGCTTCCTAATGTCCAGTCTCGACCTCCCCTGGTGCTGTCACTGGGTACCAGGGAGAAGAGATCAGCCCCTGCCTCTCCACATCCCCTCCTCAGGAAGCTGTAGAGAACAACATAGTTTAAGTGTGTTGGTGGTTGTTTTCATGCACGTTCATAACTTGGCTCAATGTTCAGGTTTTTCTTTTCTCCTGTTCTCTCCCATACAGGTGTTCTTTATAAATTTTCCTACAGGGCTTCTCTGTGGAGAAATCAGAAAAGCATATGTAGAATTTGTGAACGTAAGCAAGTGTCCTCTTACTGCACTGAAGGTTGTATCCAAGCATCCAGAATTTTTTACTTTTGGTGGAAATACTGCTGCTCTAACGCCACTAAGTCCTTCAGCTTCTGAAAACTGTAGTGCTTACAAGACTGTTGTGACAGATCCTACCTCTGTGCATACAGCACTGCTATCTTCAGCTTCTTCTGTAGACTTTGGGGTTGGCACGGGAGTTCAGCCTGAAGTAATACATGTCCCACTTCCTGATGCTGTTCTTCTTCCTGGGGCTTCGGTACAGCTACCAATGTGGCTACGAGGACCAGATGAAGAAGGTGTTCATGAAATTAACTTTTTGTTTTACTATGAAACTACTAAAAGACACTCAAAAATGTGGTAAGTTTTTGTCTGCTTTTTTCTGTCGTACTTATTAGACATATTGTAAGCATAAATGTAAATTTACTGAATTTCTCTTAATTGCTATAATAATGTAAAAGGGGCCTCTTATCTGCTATTCTAAACAATAATTTTTTCCACTATATATGATCTAATTTCCATATGAAATTATATAGCCTATACTACTTCTATGAAAGTGGTAATTATTGAAATAATTTAATAGAAGAAGCATTAATGGAATGCTGTTAACACATTTATTCCTATTTAGTTTCTCTGGAAGCATGTCTTTCTGAGGTATGGGGGGAAAAATAACTTGTAATGATAACTGTTTCTGCATGTCATAAGACAAAAGCTTGTAGTCTTTGAACAAAATATTTTTGTTCTTAGTTAAAATGTGGTTAGTAATTATATTATGATGAAAGTTATTCTCTTTGGAGGAGTAAAATACCAAGTTTGACTTGCATGCTGTCGCATAGTTCCTTTTTGGACCATTTTGAGACAGCAGACAGTAAAATTTCACACCGCAAGCTAACAAATAGTGCTTTCTTTGAACTTTACTTGAAAGTTGCCTTTTTATGTCCCTAAGGAAGCTTTAGTGTAGCAATCTAACAAACAGCCAAATTCAGAAATTAAGACTGTTTCTTTTTATCCATGTTTTTCACTCTTCTGCAAATAACTGTTTTTGCATTGCTACCTCAGAGCCACTGGAACTCATAGCTATAGCTGAGAAAAATATGCAACAGGCTTTATTCTAGATTTAGGTTTTAGCCTGCTTTTTCATTTTCTGGGAGAGAAATTTATTGTGGAGCTGTGTGTGCTGGATTTGTTTGTCTGGAGCATGTCTCTGTCCACCTTAAAAAGCAGTGCAGACTAGGAAGAGTGGATCTGTAATCAGGGCTGAGGACCTGGTGTCCTGGTTTAACCCCAGCCAGCAACTCAGCACTGCACAGCTGCTCACTCACTCCATCACTCCCACATTCCCCTGTGGGATGGGGGACAGAGTCAGAAGGGTAAAAGTGAGAGAAGTCATGGGTTGAGATAAAGGCAGTTTAATAGGTAAAGGAAAAGCCATGTGCACAAGCAAAGCAAAACAAGGAATTCGTTCACTGCTTCTCGTGGACAGGCGTGTGTTCAGCTATCTCCAGTGAAGTAAGGCTCCGTCACAAGTACCTCTTACTTGAGAAGACAAACACCATCATTCTGTCCCTCCTTCCTTCTTTCCCCTAGTTTTATTGCTGAGGATGTATTCATATGGTGTGGAATATCCCTTTGGTCAGTTGGGGTCAGCTGTCCCAGCTGTGTCCCGTCCCAGCTTCTTGTGCACCCCCAGCCTGCCTGTTGGTGGGGTGGTGTGAGAAGCAGAAAAGACCTTGACTCTGTGTAAGCACTGCTCAGCAATAACGAAAACATCCTGGTATTATCTACACTGTTTTCAGCACAAATCCAAAACATAGCCCCTTACCAGCTACTGTGAAGAAAATTAGCCCTATTGTGGTGAATGCCAGCTCACCTGGTCTCTATACTGTACAGATTCAGGATGATGGTGGGGTGCAGTGCTACTTCAGATGAGCTCTAGCCACATGGGCTGAATATCTGCTTGTGGCTGGAGCTTGTTTTCCAGGCTGATTCTGAGAAAGAAACCAAGTTGATGTGCTGTGAGACTGCTCTGTAATGGAAACCAGAGCAGAGTAAGTTGAAGATGGTCAAGGGACTGGAACAGCGGTGTGTACCTGAAATCAAAATAAAATCATCCAAATGTACCCTTTGGTATTTTAGAAGCTACAGGAAAAAATTAAATAAAGTTAACTTTTCATTTGCCTTTAAGCTAGTCTGTAGGAATAGGGAATTTGTCCCCCTACAATTTTTTTAATTCTTTTTTTAAGAACAGTACTTTTCTCCTCAGAGTCCATAGTATTTAGAAATTGAGATGTTTCAGAGGTGGAAGATGGTTGTTTGGGGAATGTATTTGTTCCCTAGTGTACTGAAGTTTCCAGGGGAACTTAAGTGATGTGATCTTGTTTAACAGCGTTCTTTGTAGACCGAGCATAGCTTAACTTCTCAAAAAATCCTTTAATTTGTGCCACTTCAAAGCTATACAGACATCTGTATATCGGTCTGAAGATTAACTGCAAACTGTTAAGTTTATCCTGTAGATTGTGACATTATGTGAAGCAGAGTTTAGGAAACCACTGATTTCTGCTCCCAGAACAAGTATCGCATGATGTTTCAGCATATTTAGTAGGTAATACATATCAAATTTTTACATGGCTCTAATGCTTCCAAAGGGAAGTTATGGGAACACAAAGCTTCTACAGGGGAAAAGCTTGTGTATTTTGATGTCCGAGAATGGAAGTTTACTAATTTTTAGAAAAACAGGAGGATAACTTTGACAAAGCGCTTGCTGGCCTAGAGGTTGAGCATATCCAGAATAAGGAAGAGTAGTGATGGCTCTAGAAGTAAACTTTTAAGATTCTCTGTTCAGGGGAATTTGTTGAATGCAGTAGTATTCTGCCTAAATGCTTTTTAGTAAGTGTTTTGCAGGAGATGTGACTAACTAGTGGGCCTTTTATGGTTTATTTACTCTATTTTCCAAAGCATGTGGTGACATTAAATAGCTTAATGACATCCCTCTGCCAATACATGTCTGTTTGCTTTCACTGTGCCAATTGTCTTAGATCTGAAATATTTGATGTATTTTTTTTGTCATGGTAACATATGACGCTTTTTGAAACTGTATTTCCAACTGTATTTTAAATTGGCTAAGAGACTGCATGTTTGAACAGCACCTTACAAATAATATAGTTTTGATAGGAAGCTAGAAAGACAGTGTCTCTTCAGTGGTTGAAAGGAAGAAATTGTCTAATAGCCGTGATATTGATGACAGACAAAAGCTAAACTTCCTGATGGCAGGGTCTGGACAGCAGTGCTGGTTGTTCAGAATGTCTTTTTTTTTTTTCTTTCCTTCCTTCCTAGTCATAGAGTATTAAGGCACACTGCAGTTATTTGTACTAGCCGGTCTCTGCATATTCGAGCTACTGTCTGCAGAAGTAATGCTCTTGAAGGTGAAGAAGGCAGAGGGGACAATCTGCTGGTGTTTGTGGATGTAGAAAATATCAATACTGTAAGTTCTTATTTTTAGTAATAATACTGTTCTAAAGCTCAGCAGACGTGTGTCAGCAGTAGAACCAAGACTTAAGCAAAAGGTTTTTTTTACAACTTTGCATGTGTATCATTCCAGGTACTGTTGGGAAGAGTACTAACATAAAGTTATATCTTAACTCTCTGGAAGTCTGCTGTAACTGTCTCTATCCTAAGCAAATCCCAGTACTGTAGTTTGGAGTCTCTTTTCTTTTAGGAAGTCTTAGTTCAAATTAATGGACGTTCTTGATGATCACAGCTTTCAAGGTAGTTCTGAATGAGACAACCTGTGCCCCTGACAACCTTGCGGTGAAAACACTGGTAGAATTAGTGGTAACATGAAGTCAAAATTTAAGGTCCAGCTTGAAGGAAGTTTGTGTTTTCATTTGTCACCAAACTCTAAAAGATGATTTTTTTTCCCCCCAAATGTAATCCAAATATGAATGTTTGTTTTGATCTGATCTGTTGAGTTAGCAAAGCAGATGAAAATATTTCAGTTTTTCATGCCACACTAATTTAAATTTACTCATTTTTTTGGTAAAGCTGCTCCCATTTTTTCAACCACAAAGCAAGGTAATTGAATCCTCTGTTTATAGAGTTCGTAGGCACTTAGCTGGTAGTGGAGTCACTGAGCTGATTTGTCATTTTGTTTTAAAGGTGTGTACACTCTGGTTTTTCTTTGGCTACTAAAGTGAATATTGTCCACTCCCTCCTTGAGGAGGAAGGGATGTTTTATGAAGTACTTAACCAAATTAACAGAACATTTTGGGAGACTTAATTT